TTTTTCCCCCCCAAAGCCCCAGTAGATAGTTGAATGTCATAGTTGCACATCCTTTTAGTTGCTGTATGTGGGAAGCGGCCTCAGCATGGCCGGAGAAGCGGTGCGTCGGTGAGCGCCCGGGATCCAAACCCGGGCCACCAGTAGCAGAGCGCGCGCACTTAACTGCTAAGCCACGGGGCCGGCCCCTAAAAATCCTTTCTTGATCACTACTTCCCAGTCTAAGTGCTTGAGTCAATCATCCATATCCTGGGGCCTAGGTGAGAAACACCTTTAAGTTGGCTGGGTTACTAACCTTAAGATTTAAGAGATCTGGTTTTGAATGTAAAATTCATAACAAACAAATTTTTAAAACTGTTTTTGAGCTGGTCAGGTATAGTTGTATCTCAAGACTCTCTTGTTCTATGTTTCCTGATGGAGATAGTAGAACTAGGGAAATTGAAATCTGATGTATTCTTACAGTAATAGAAGAGGGTACATGGGCACTGTTTAACACTAAGGTCTTTTGATGAATAAGTTCTTACCACACTTTTTCAAGAACTACCATCTTCAATTGTGCATCCCAGTTCTCTACATACTAAATACTGAGTAGTTTTAAAGTGAGCTCTTCATTAACTAACATACTTTTGAATGCCTTCTGTGTTACAGGTTTGTTTATAAATGAAAGCCCTCTGTTGCATTGTATAACTACAATATTTGCCATGTTATTTTCCCTAAGTAATCCAAGTAGTGCATATTCTATATAAAATTACTGAATGGTACTGTAAAATATTCAGTAGTTTGAAGGACAAAACTAAAAAAGTTTTACTCAAATGTTTTGACATCGCTTTGAAGAAAAGTGGAATTTGTTTTTTTCTCCTAAGTGATGAAAACTTGTGATTTTGTAAAAAGTATCTTAAAATGGCATTATAATTCTGTACATGAATTTATACTTTTAACAGCAGATCTGGAAGATTTTTTACTTTTTATCATTGTCTTACCTTGTATCTAGCATTGTATGGTTCAGTTATTATTTTGGATATTTAAGGCTTCCATTTATCTTATTTGGATAAAACAACCAAATTAGCCAGCCTATTTTCTTCCATGCTTACTGAGAAATGAGAGGTAGAGGTCCTCCAAATTCCACAGGCCAGCAAGCAGTCAACTTAAAATTCCCTTTCTTAAACGATGTGACTCTTAGGCTCTCAGGTTTTTGATGACGTTATTTTTTAAGTACCTGCCCAGTCACTTGAGATGAAATGCGTGGAGTAGCTTTTCCACATTGGAGCTCCTCAAACTTAATGTTTTTACTAGTTCATAGTGTTTGGGACAGTACGTGCCCATCAGTAAGACTGCTTCAGAGAGTCTGCAATTTTGTATGTCACATTGCCGGAGATGGGTTAGTGGTTTTTGACTGTAATACAAGTCAGCTTCCGTAGCATGAAGTTTGATTTCCCATAATTCTTCCACTTGTTTTACATCACTTATTTGGGTTAAACTGGACTCACTTCAGGCAGTTTGCCTTTGTTATTTAAATATGTGATGAGAAACATAAGGCTGTTAATTTGACTTGAGCCATAAAACACATTTTAATATTAGCTTGTATTATATTTATCAAGGTTGTTTTTGTGGAAAAAACAGGCTAAAACCTAAGTAAGTCTAGATTGAGCCAGTTTAGGTGTAATTTGTATTTTAGTGATGGATTGTATTGTAAGAGTAGAGGTAAATTAGGAAAATGTGTTTTGCTGTTCTGTTGAGGGGAAGATCAGTGCATTTAAAAACTTCAACTTTTGTTACTGTGCTCACATCATAGTGTACAAGCATCATTTATAGTTTGGCTTTGAGGATTTTTCTGGCATTAAGTTTATAGAAATGTATAAAAGAAACTGTTTAAGTTTTGGTTATATTTTTATATTTGTAAACTAAAAGTTTGATTAAAATGGTCACTGTTTTTTTATTTTATTGTCATTTCAATAAAAAAAAATTTAAAATAGAATGACTGTTTGTTTGTGTGGCTCCAACCTTAGTGTGCCATTAGAAATCCTGCAGGGTTCTTTTTCACTGTTAGTGGCTAGGGGCCATTAGATGAGAGACAGCTTGACGTAATAGCAAGGGCCTGAAGACCTGGGACATCGATGTTGCCCTCCCCTCACACTCCTCCATTGTGTGTTAGCAGTGTTCATAGGCAGATTCAGTTTCCTCCAGTGTGAAGCGGTCACTGGATTTGGTACCTGGTGCAAATAAATGCAAATAAAAAATAACCTTATATTATTGGGTTAGTTTCACCTATTCTCATAGCTGGGAAGATTGGGATTTAGAAATTGCCTCACAATTGTGTTAAGTCTGTGTTGTTATATCATTGAGGACTCCGTTTCCTCATCTATAAAGAGTGTTCACTCCTACAGTTTTTTTTCCTCAAACTTGCCAGACAGTCGTGATGTTCTGTGACACCATGCTTGCTGCTTATGTAATGCTGTGTAATTTAATTTCAGCATCTTAAATAGAAACAATTTATACCCAAAATATGAGAATGTATGTGTAATAAAACCATAGCCTTGAGGCTTTATAGCTGAACAAATATTGAACAAAACCTGATAAAGTTATTGCAAAGTTCTGAAAATTTTACTACTTGTGTATTTTATAGCAGGCACCAAAGAGCTATGAAAAATTATGAAAGAAAAGGTAAAGATTGAAATATACCCATTAACTTAGTTTTTTCCGCACAAACTTGAGGAGTTGGTTAGTTTTCCTCTTCTGCTAGATTTAGTAGTGGAATACATTGGTCCAGCTAAGGAAACACCAGAATTCCATGGGAGTCCATTTAAGGCTACTGGATTAGATAATGATGTTCAGTTCCTAGGATGTTGAGAATCTTAACAAAAAGCTACTCAGCCTTTCTCACAGGATGGTGAAAATCACATGAGGTCATGCATATGAAAGGATTTCAAATATTTTAAAAAATGAAAGTACCAATACTGTATCTAGGTGTGAATCTTACTCCATACAAACTCTGGTCTGTTTGAAATGACACATTTCCTTTAAATCAAACTAAATCAGAGCCATCATCCCACAAAGATGGAAGGAAATTCAGTCTCTCAGTCACTATTGGGAGTGAGGACCTACCCAAAGTCGCACAAGAATCCAGAAGGCATAAATGGTACTCTGAAATGAAAGTGGGGGTGCGGAGAGCTCTGGCTTCCATCACGGACTCCACAGATCCTTTCTTGTCCAAGCTGGACCAGGCCCTTAAAGTCTGGTGCTGTTGCCTCCATGTCACACTTGGGCCTTGGAACTTGACTGATACAGGTAGTCCCTGTGCCTATGGTCCAGCCTTCCTGGGTACACTAAATATTCATCCCTTCTGTGTCTTGCCGCCTCCCCTGGTCCTCTCATGGAGCAGGATGCAGCACAAAGAACCAGAAGCATTAGCTGACTTTAGAAGGTGGGTTCCATCCTTGCCAAAAAGAAGCCATGAGAGATGGATGTGCAAAAGCGTGGTTACCTTCTTGGAATGGGAAAGGAAAAAATGTTGGTAGAACAAATACTAATTATCCTAGTAAAATATCCAGACACAAACATCTAAAATCTTTTAAAATGCGAATTAAAAATTATATAGTTAGGTTAATTTCACCTATTCTTATATTGAATCTTTAGAAAGTTCAAGCTTCTAAAAGTTTAATTTAGTTAGACTATAGTTTTAATATAGTCAGAACCAAAAGTAAAAAGTTGCTATTAGACACTTCACAAAGTCATTCCAGAAAACAGGTTGTCTAAAGTTTTTTTTTAACACTTAGAAAGTAGTGGTTATCTCAAAATATAATTTAATAAAGAGTATAGCACTTTGAAATTCAAGATGGTGGAATATTGTACCTTAATAAGGGCAGATCTATTAACAGCAGCCTCTTATGGTGACGGGACACAGTTGGTGTGGTATTATGTAACTGTAATGTGACTTGGACTGAATATGGATCACCTGATAGTGTGGTTTAAAAATTATGGGAGCTCAGATAAAGTAGAACAGTAACTTCCCTGGAAAATCGCTATCTTCATTTTTTCAAAATAAAGCTTTCCTTTATTTTACCAATAAAGTTGAAAGTAGCATTTTAATCAAATGGCTGCAGGGTGGAGAACCAAAGGGAACTGAAGTCTAATATTCATATAGACTTCATAAACAAGTATGTGTAAATTCACACGGACATTGAGCTCTATATGAGGTCTATATAGACCTCATATAAAAAAGTTGGTGTGTGGCCCCCACAAAAGCCAAACTGTTCTGTTCCATCACAGGCCCTTTAATAGGATGATCCTAAAACTTCCAAAGTAGATGGTAATAACCTTGAGAGATCTTTTTTAGTTTCCAATTAGTAGGCTTTTAGAATTAGAGTATTAGGTATAAAAGAGATTTTGAAGACAATTTCTTTTCTTTTGAAAGTTTGTAAGATGCATCAAAAATTGACTGAGCACCTGCTGTGGGCCAGGCACTATTACAGGCCTTGGGGATACAATGAAGAATAAGACCTCCAAGCTAACATTTTTTTTTTGGTAGCACTTTTTCTTTGTAACAGCTTTACTGAACTATAATACACATTGAGATATATCTCACCATTTAAAGTGTACCCTTAAATGATTTTTAGTGTATTCAGAGTTGTGCAACCATCACCACAATTTTAGAACATTTTCATCACTTCAGAAAACCATATTTAGTTTTTACCCCCCAGTTCCCTCATTTCCCCATCCCTAAGCAACCATTAATCTACTTTCTGTATCTGTAAATGTATTTGCCTGTTCTGGACATTTCCTACAGAGTCACAATATGTGGTGTTTTTTGTCTGGCTGCTTGCAGTTACCATGTTTTTAAGGTCCGTTCACGTTGCATCAGTACTTCACTCATTTTTATGGCTGAATAATATCCCATCATATGGATATCCCTTATTTATGGATTCATCACTCGGTGGACATGAGGGTTGTTTCCACCCTCGGGCTATTATAAGTAATGCTACCAACATTTGTGTACAAGTTTTGTGTGGAGGTATGTTTTCACTTCTCTTGGGTGTATACCTAGGACTGGAATTGCTAGGTCAAATGGTTACTCTTAGGTTTAACTTTTTGAGGAACTGAGAGACCGTTTTCTGCAGTAGCTGCACTATTTTACATTCCTACCTAGTGTACGAGGGAACACTTTTATTTCCCGCTAAATGCGGTTCGTTTTAGACTGCGAGGCTACTAGCAAACAGCAGAAACTGAAGACAGCTTTGTTGGGGAGAAACTTCAGACTGTTAATAGTCTTTCTTTGGGGTCAAGGCCTCTATTATTCCCTAAGCACCATCTCCTCTTTGGGCCACCAGGGAAGCTGCTAGGCCCACAGGGGTGCTCAGGGGCAAACTGCTTAGGAGGGGTTAAAGGGAACGAAGGGCCAGGCGGCCGGACGCCCGGTGGCCCGGGTGCCCGTGTCCTGCGGGCCGCCACGCGGCCTGGGCCCCACCGCCCGTCAGCGCC